TCCAGGCATTTCCATGCGGGCTGACTCCGGGATTTAGTCAATTTAGCAAAGGCGGATCAGATGGGAAGTCAAAGTTCCCTTTTGGGCCTTTCTCCTGCTAACCAGGCGGTGGAATCAAAGCCCGACAGAGGCTGCTTCCTGGCCATGTTGACAACTAAATAACACGTTAATGTGTTTATTGCGTATGCTACACTGGGTCCCCAGAGTCCAGGCATAAGATTCAGCTGGGAGTTGGGAGTTGGGAGCTCGGAGTTGGATGCTGGGAGCTGGGAGCTGGAACTCGAACCTGTGTTAGGTGTCGCTGCCAACACATTCGATCTGGCCTGCTCTTGATCCGATCGATCGGAGTAGCACTCGCATTATACATGAGTCTGAGGCTCTGGGTTTGCGGGACACAAAACGCGTTTCACGCCCTGACTTCTGGCCCGGCCTGGAAGCTTGGGAAAGACCGCAACTGGTTGCTCTTGGGCCGAGCTCCTTAACATTTATTTATGTATTTATGGAACGTCATGCGATCACTCGGCTCAGCGGTAATCATATGCCATGGAGCCCTCGATGCCTCCTTCCATCCGTCTCCCCACCTGATGTCGGGTGTATAAATAAAAGATTAGTTTTCATAGAATAAACATTTGGCCAGTTGCAGTGGCCAGTAGCACTTGGCTTTAAAAATGTGTCGCAATAAAAATTCTGAATTACCAGAGATTGGGGCGAAGGGAAGTGAAAGCTTGGCGAATAAATGTGTTTGAAATATGTTTATAATATGTAATGTTGAATTAACTAATATGGTTTTTATATACTTGATTAATGTGCATAAAGCTATCTTTTGTTCTATTGATCACTCTAGGAAGAGGGCAACAAAAATCAGTTCAATTTCAACTGCATTAGGGGAGGTGTCCTTGCCTCCTCCTACCCATGTTTCTTAGTTATTTTAACACCCCTACTCTCCCTGTGGCAGCTGCATTTCTCTTCCCCTGCCGCTTGCGACGAGTTGGCCAGATCAAACGCCGCTTGTCACGTGCCTCACGTGCCACGCCCACTCCAACTGATTAAATTAGCGGATTTATGTGCCGCGATAGAGAGACAGAGCTGAAGCTGAAGCTGAATCTGAAGCGTTGCCGTAATTGCCAGTTTCGGATTTCGAGATTTCGGCATTTGGCTTTCGGTGCTCATAGAGCTCATAGAGCCCGGCGCAGGCGCAGCTGAAATGAGGTCTTCCCCTCGTGCTCCGCCATCAATCCCCTCCAGACCGGACCGGGTCTCGTTACACAAGCCAACTCCGGCTCCGTTACAAATGTCAGGCGACCTTACACACGCATTACGGCAACGGTCTGATGTTGCCGCCGAATGTCAGACGGATTCATCGCAGAGCTGGCGAAAAATTAATTCATTTTCAACACCTATTTTGACAGTTCATAAAATACATTTGTCATAAAATCGGTCAGAGACAGCGACAGCGACAGCAGCGACTACTACCTCTACTCATCGGGCCAGGTCGCGGCCAAGAGATTTATGTGGCTCATTGGAAATGCAATTCGAGGGACGGGAACGGAACCTTCGGACCCTTGGAGCAGCCTCCTTGCCACATCAAATTTGTCGTCCCTTTTCGCTCTCGGGACTGCTCTGACTGCTCGCCAGAATATGGTCCCCAAAGCGAGTTGCAAAAATCTTAACAAAGTTATTTTAGCAAACGGTACGACAAAAAATGTCATGTCCCCCAAAAACATTGTGCCTTGGCAAGCGACGAGAGCATCCTGCGACTCGAATGTCCCCTGGTGAACGAACCAAGGAGCTCTCTGGAGTTGCTCTGCAATCGATATGCGTGCAGATGCTCCACTTTGATCAGGTCATCAGCGACACATCGTTCATCATTCCGAGCGGACGGTGCGCAGGAATGCAGCTCTCCTCCAGAGGGATGAGGAGGAGCAACAGGAGGCAGGAGGCAGGAGGAGCTATGCATGACCAGTAGCCCGAGTTCAAAACAATGGGCCAAAGCCATGAAAGGAACGCTTTTCAAGTTTTACGCCAAAGACCCAATGTCTGCGACTGGACTTTTGCCTTGTGTCCGTTTGCCTTTGCCTTTGCCTTGAGGTTTTGACTTGGGCTTTGGGGCTCAGCCGAAGCTGGAGCTGGAGCTGCGGATGAGGATCCCAGGACCGGCCGCGACTTTGACGGATGAATTTCACAAATAACTTCAACTGCGGCTGCAGTTCTGCTCTTTTTTTTTTTTGTATTTTCCTGCTGCTCCTGCTGCCTGCGTTATTTATTGTACGAGTATTATTTGGCCGGGACTCATGGATGCACCAATACCAATTTCGTCGTTGAGACAGCCAGCTGCACCCAGAGAAAAACTATCTTTAAACCAGGAAAAACTAATTCCAAAAAAGGTATTGAGTAAACAGGTATTTGAGGAAACTTAATACCTTCTAAGTAATTATTAGTATTTGAGATGAATTTTAGCTAAACCTTGACGCTTTTTGTGATTTATTTTTGCCAGTGTTTGGTTCGAATCTGCTTTTGATTCTGAAGCTGGAAGCTGGTAAGATGGTAAGATGGTAGCTGGGAGTTGGCGTTGACACAAAACCTTGTTGAGTTTCGGAACGCGGGCCAACGAATACGAATGACAGGAGGAACAACGTTGGATGTCCCCGTTGTGTCTAAGTTTGGTATGCGTCATTTTTACAAGGAAATTCCTCAGACTTTGTGACTCCGAGTCTGGCTGGGCTTTGGCTCTGGCTCTGGCTTTGGCTCTGCCTCTGACATCGACTGTGACTCCTTGGGCTCGACTTGTCCTCCTGCTAATTTATGTAAACACGCTAAGTACAGTCCTAGCTGCACCTTTCGACTGCCCCTCTCAATTAGAAGCCATTGAGAAGGGACCAGCGAGGAGGACTCTTTGGTTTGCTGAAATTTTAAATTGAAATCGCAAAAAAGAGCGTTCGATGCGCTCACAAATGCAAAATTCCCCGCGAGTTGGCATTCCAGTGCTGGCCATTGTCTTCGTTTTGGTCGAAAAGGTGTTGATTTAATGAGGTTTGAGGACCAGGTCCTGCTGCTGCTCTGTCCTTCAAGCAGAAGTTCAGGCAGAAGCTGAGTGAATCCTCAGTCTTAAATCTAGAATCCCTGTGGTGATTGACATTCGAATGCCTCGCAGGGGGGGTTTCTCATTTCTCTGTGTTTCATTTCCAGCTAATTAATTGGCTGCAAATGAGACACTCACTGGAAGAAGAACAGGCGAATTCGAGGCGTGTAAATCAGTGTTTTCCTCCACTTTTTCTCACTCACTCCATCGACGGCGAAATGATGTCGCTTCGAGGACATAATGGAACCATTCATTGCGCCTGTAAAAGCCTGTCGTCGTCGTCGCCCGGCTCAGGCATATCCTGTTGCGTTCTTTCATGATTAATGGAACAGATTTTCCAGCTTCCTTCCGTCACTGCCACTTAACTTTTTCAAGTGTAATGCATTAATGTGCCGCAGACAGACACACCAGTCCTTTCCCCTTATCCTTTTCCACCCCGTCGATGAGCACTTCGTCCTGATGACAAAAAGGCAGCCAATGTCCCTGAAAGTGGCTCAGTCCCCGACACTCACACACACACACACATTTATATTTAAATTTTCTTTATTTTTATTGAGTTTTTCTCGCTGTTTTTGTTGTTTTTTTGTTTGTTGTTGTCTCTTTTGTTTTGATTTGATTTAAAAATTACATTAATTACTAAAAATTAGGGATAGGGGGAGTCGCTAGGCTTTGTTCTGTGATTTTTGTTTGTTTTTTGTTGTTTTTCTTCTGCCATTTTCTAGATTAAAACTAATTAATTAAATGCTAGCACATCTTCATGTTTCTTACGTTTTTTTCGGGCATTATAAATTTGATTTTGTGTTTATTGTTATTAAATAATTACACACTCATACACTCACTCGCATTCGTTGTCATTCATACGCACCCTTGCACTCCGGTTTGTGGTTTTTGTTTTGTTAAACTATCAATTAATTCCTTTTAGCTGCTGTTGGTATAAATTAAACTAGAGTGAAACACACGCACTAATTACCGCTTAAACTAGATTTACGTTTAATCCATAATTACGCAGCGAATTGTTGGCTTTCGCCTTTTTAAATTGTGCCTTTGTCACCTGACATTTGATGTTCGATTCTTTCTCTGCGCGCAAGAGTCCTAAGATATATAATATAATATAATATATATTCTATATAAAATGCGGTCTATACAAAAATTTACAATTCAAGCAGATAGTTTCAACTAATTTTCTGTGGCGGATTAGGCGGAATTATATATATTGCACAATAAAAGAACGAAATGATCCTCCTCCTCTTCTAGGTGCAAAAATAGGCATATAATGATTGGAACAATAAAAACAATTAAAAGAATCGGAAAGTATATTATTCTTTTTGCATTTTGAGATCGGATTTTACTGATTTTTCTGGGTTTTTCTCGTTTCTACACAGAAGAACAAAAAACACGCGAAAGAGAAACTCTTTTTAAGATCAACAGCTGATTTTCTTCATTTTTTATTTTTGTTTACGATGTACTTTTTATGCTTTTCATATATTTTGTTGTTGTTGCTCACTACAAGTATATATATATTTATATATATATATATAGATAGATTTATACATAGTTATTTAGCTAAATTTTAAAACAAAATTAAAGGACACGTTTCCATGTGATTTGAGGAATGTTTTCTGCTCTCGGTTTAAGTATTTTTTTGTTTTGTTTTATGTATTATTTTGTTCTTAGCTAGACTACTGTTTTTCTTTTTTTGTTGTTTGTATTCAGAACGACTTTATTCACGCTGGTGTAAATGGTATTTAGATTACGTTTAAAATGTACAAAATTTACGCTTCACTTGCCAGTTATCATGGATATTTTACAGGTTGCTATCATGGTTTGCATTTTTATATTGGCTAAGAAATTGTGTGCTGCACTGTCCCGCCCGCGCATAAGGACGAGCCGCCGGTGGCGAAGTCCTGCTGCCGCTGCTGCTGCTGGTGCTGGAGGAGATGCTGCGCCTGCGCTGCTCCCAGCGCCTGCTGCTCCAGTTGCAGGTGCTGCTGCAACCCCAGTTCCGGGCAGGAGTGATGATGATGGTGGTGGTGGTGCTGCTGCTGATGCTGCTGCTGCTGTGGCAGGGACTGGGACTGGGACTGCTCCCTCTCCCGCTCCAGATTCAGGTTGAGGTTCAGCTGGTGCTGCGTCCAGGCAGCCGCGGGCAGCTGGTTCGGATGCTGTTAGACCGCCGGCCAAACACTGAGGGGTAGAAGAGATAGAAATCGGTGGGTTTAGTTCACTATATACATTTTATAAGCATTAAGGTTGCACTTAATAATCAAAATTAATATAAAAGTAATGGTATATAAAAAAGGTTGTCTACACTTACGTCACTAGTGATGGATTCGTCTCCGGCTGATACCAATACTGGGGCACATAGCCGCCCATCTGTGGCGGCGGGTTATGGTGGTGCGTCTGCGGATGTAGCGCCGCCGCGGGATGAGGTGGCTGCGGCGTCATTTGGGGTGGCGGCTTGTGGTCGATCCAGTGCGGCTTTTGATCCCACGGCGCTTGCGTTGGCGGACTGAGACCCGTTGGTGGGAATTCTATTGAAGGAAGAAAAGCAAAAGCAAAAGCCACATTGAAAAGATTCCCTAAGATATAAAGACTCTCTGTAGGTAGGGCCACTCACCAGGTGATAGCTCGGACACGGGTGTACTCGATGGCGTTGGACTGTGTCCGGGAGGTAGATAATGTGAGGGTGAACCGCTGTTCGAGCCACCGCCGTTATTACCGCCTGAAAAGCAAATTAAATATTAAGTATTTTGAACTAACTAAGGGGTCTCTCCAAGCACTCACCACTGTGCATTTGATTGGGACTGTGCTGGCCGGGATTGGGTCCACCGCCGCCCAGAGGCATGCCGCTGTTGGTGCCCGGACCCTGGGCCGCCTTCATCATCTTTTTGTACTTGGAGCGTCGATTCTGGAACCAGATTTTCACCTGCAAGCAGACGGCAGATTAGCGTGTGAATTAGCATTGATTTTAGTTTGTGGCAGCGGAGCGGGTTAATCCGAAGCGACAGAAGTCCGCTAACAGATGCATTTACCCCGCTCTGATACAGATACAGATACTACAGATACTAGGCGGCTTTTCAAACAGCCTTTCAGTTGAAATTAAGAGTGAGCGCTCGTGAAAAGCGGCTGGCAGGAAAATGGCTCTATAAACTATGGATTTTGGCAGCGTGTGACACATATTGGTGTCTCAATCGCGGCTCGCAAAGTGTTTAAGCCCGCAGATACTTTCAGTTTCCGTTTATTTTTGCGATCTGCTGCCGCTAGAACTAATTGTTCGCTGAGCTGTGAGCGGCGGTGAGTGGAGCACTTCACTTTTGAGGCCTGACTCACCTAATTATTAATTGAAATGATCCAAAACACGGTCACAGAACCTGGCTAGTTGGTCTGAGTTACGACTCTCGGGCAGTATCTCAACCCCTTCATTGATGAACCTCAAAGATACGAGCCGTAACAGCGCGTATCTAATGCTGTCTATGCGCACTTTTCATCTGCACTCTTGCACCGTATCCGTACTCACATTCAAGCCAAACTGAAGCATAAAGATCTATATGTACATATAGCTTTATAAACTTGTAGCGGCCCAGACTTGCTCAAGGTCGTTCTTCGCGGTTGGTTGGCGTTTTGTAGCGCCGCTCGAGCGCTCGGCGAATTTCACTGACTTTGCTTGGGTTTTAGTTGGTGCTGCTGTTGTTTTTTGCCCATAAAATCGGTTGTATTTGAGGAGATTCGGCTTTTATGTGCATTCCCCAGTGCCGAAACCATCGATTTCAATTAGCCGATAGCTACCGAGCTGAGCTAATAGCGCCCATTGTCGGATCATTGACATTGGAAGCCGTCGCCGGTAGCCGAAAATAGTAGAAGCCGACGAACGAATTTCCATTTCATTTAAGTGCTCAATCAAGCGCAAATCGTTATGTCAGAGATACTATATACATTTTTTGGCTACTGAAAACTCGAACAAGTCTGGCGGAAGGAAGGAAGGAAGGAAGCTTCCTTGGTAACTCTTTCGCTTCTATATAAAAGTCAGATGTGTTGTTACGCAAGGCAGGCCAAGCGAAAAATCTGCGCTCAATGATAAAATATTCTCTCAAACAAAACAAATACGCAAATAGTTACGCTTTGGCAGATTTTGATTTAAGAAACATTTTCATGCAAAAGTGTGCTGGCTGAGCAAGTGTCAAAACTAATGGTCAGCAGCCTCTCAATTGTCAGCTTAGCGAAATAAAATGAAAACAAATTAAACGAAATATCAACTCAACAAGTTCCCCTCTAGAAAATACACACAAAAAAAAACAGCCATGGTCGAGAGTAAAAGTGAAAAGAGAGACAGACTGTCAAGTGTCAATCAGCCTTATGCTGCTGTCCCCATGTGCCCCATGTCTGCCGTGTTGTGTCTCTGAATTTGTACCACTTTCGCATGGACAAATATGGCAAAAATACAGAAAATACAAAGACGAGACGAGAAATTAGCATGTCACTGTGTCGAAGCCCGTCTGCTCTGGCATTATCCTTTTAACCCACTTGGAGTTTGCAGCTCCCAGATGGTCAAGCGGCAGCAACACTTGCTTGATCACTTCCGCAATATGTCACTTGCCATATAATTTATGCAGTCAGTCGCAGAATTGATGGCTTCGCAAGAGTCTGGATGGAGCTAGAGAGACGGAGGCAGATTACAGATGGGTTTTATGACGACAAACAGGCGATTCTCCCTCCAGCTGGAGCTAGAGCTAGAGCTTGGTGCTGATGCTGCAGCTGGAGAAGCTGTTGGAGATGGAGATGCTTGCCTCTCGCTGTGGGCTTTCTAATTGCGAGCACTTGCCGTTGGAGCGATAAAATTCACTAGCCACAGGCCTCAGCCACTGACTCGGCCACAGAGCCGGCTTCCCTGGTAACTGGTTCCGCGGGGCATTGCCAAATGTGTCCCAAGCCTCTGGCGGCTTCCCCCCTACCCAAAGCCAGGCCCACAGCCAGACAGACTCTAATTCATTTGACAGTTGAGCATTTAAAACGTGGGAAAAGATAAGCCAATCGAACGGAGAACCGTAATACCTTTAGCCGGGCACCAAGCATCGTTCACGGATTGATTTGTGTGGGATCCCTGGCAGGGCCAGGTTGTTTTCCGCGGAAAACACACTTTGCTTCCTTGGTATTTTCCCTGATAAATCATGGGAGCAGTTGGAGTTTCGCCCGCCCCATCTGTTAAGTCATAAACCAGGAGGCACCTCCTCCACCTGACCCTGCCAACTACACCCGAAAAGCTTACATCTTTATTAGCCAAGCGGCGGACTGAGCTGAGTAAATACTGGAGACAGACACACACGGCTTTGACACGGATGCCTGGGTCTAATGACACCCACAACGCCCCCAAAGCGGTCCATGAGATGATGATCTTCAGTGGGAGACACTCCCCTCTGGTTCTCTTCCAGGAAGCTTGGGAGATCCTCTGAGGTTAACTTGGGATATTTACTCGCTTTATGGGAGTTTGATAATAGATATTTACATGTGTGCTTAAGGAATATCTAATATTATATCTTTATTCCCTTAATTTAAATCAATTCCCTTAAAGACTAGTCCCATTATTGTGTAGTGTATGCAAACTTCATCCTCTGCGAAGGTTACCTTTGGCAAATGCATTTCCATTAAAAATACCAAATAATGTTTATGGCTTTTTCCCAACCCCAAGAGAGACTTGGGGCCTAAAACAAATGGCGAGACCTGGAAATGGTCTCAGTTTTGTAGTCACAGTTGCTGCCACAAATTTATGGCTACCAGGCCAAGTTTTCCCCGTCATTGTTCTCGGCTTGTTGCTTGTTATGTTCGCTGCTCCCCCCGTTTCCTCTGATCTGAGGCGGCTGCCTTGGTTTTCATTCATAAATTCCGTGCAACAAGATTTTAGCATTTTTGCAGCCACATTTTTGGTGCGAGAAATTTCAATTTGCTGGCCCCAAAAGCCCCAAAAGCGGTTAACATGAAAAACACTTTTCGGGCGGCTTCTTTGCGTTTGCTTTGAATTACGCGACATCCTTTGCGAGCATTGTCTTAGCCAAGCTGATTAATGGCTCGAACGGAGCGATTTGCAGGCGCCAAAAGCAGTCTCTTAATTCGCTTGGGCCAAGATCATAGCCATCACTTTCATTTCATTTGAAGAGTCGGAACTCTTGGACAGTCTCATCCAACTAACAACTTTCCTCCTTTAAGCACGCGCCAGTTTTAGCCACCGAACGGCTTTAATCGCGCTGCAATCGCCAGCAAAACGCGTGCAAGCCGCGTTGCGCGAGCGCGCGGCAATTTTTAATTTATGCAAAAAAAGTGAAGAAAAATCGTAAAAAAAGACACAAAGACCATAAAAATTTAAATAGACGATAGAGAGTGAGAGAGAGGGAGCTTCGAGGGGGGCTAAAAATCTGAGCTGCTGCGCGAAATAAAATAAAATTTTGATTTATGATCTTGTCGCTGAAGTTGTTCGTCAACAGCAGCGCGATGGCAGGTAGCTAGGGTACACTGAGCGAAGTGGGGAATACAGTGTCTTGAGGAAACCCCCTTTAAGGCCAACAAAGCCAAAGAGTTTTATATAAATTACCTATTATTTTGGTTAAAATTCATCTTGAAATTTTGTAATTGAAATAGTTTCTAGTACACCCAGAACTGCTAAGAAAATTGTATCTACTTTTTCTCCCAGTGTCTGGCTGTGTGAAGCTGTTGTACAAGTTTGTTGGCGCAACAAGTGCTTTCGGCCAGTATAACTCACTCAGCGTCGGTCGGTCGATCGGTCAGTCAGTCATTCATAAAAGCAGTGGCCGCGTGGCACTTTTGATTTTGTTGCCGTTGCTGTTGTTGCTTTTCTTTATTTTTTTATTTTTTGGTAAGCCCATGTTCATGCCCGATCTTTATCTCTGAGCAGTTAAAAAAGCGAAAAAGTAAAAGCCAAACAAAAACGCATTTAATATATATACATATATGTATATATCTTGCTGTGTTCCAAAACGATTGCAAATTCGCGATTGTTTTGTGGGCTGTGATTGTTGCTGCAGCAACTGTTGCGTGTGCTGAAAGGCAGTAGGATCCACCCCCAAAAGGCCAGAAGAAGCCGCTGTTCCACCCAGCAGATCCTCCTTCCCACAGCAGCAGCAGCAGCAGCAGCAGAAGATCGGCTACATCAGCATATTTCTTCTCCTCGCCCAACTCCATGCTCTTTTGACTGCCATGGTTGACGGATTACGCAACTTGCCGGCCGTAGCATTTTCATTTTATTATTGTTATTATAAACTCCTCGCATTGTTGTTGTTGTTGTTTCTTTTTTCTCTTCTTTTTTTCATTGTGCTTGGAAAATTTGTACATTGCATGCGATTGTTTGTTGTTTATACGCTCCACGGCAACAGCAACAGCAAAAAAATTTGTTTATAATTTTGAATGCAACAGCAGCGGCAGCAGCAGCGCCGCGGGCAGGCAATGACTTCGAAACATATACAACAATGCCATGTCGTGGCAAAAAAACACAGAGAAAAAACGCTACAAAAAGTTTTCTTTCTGTTGTTTTCCGCGCTGTTCCCCCCTCTGCCGGGGTCTGCAACTGCCCTAGAGTCAAGTGTCACGCACACTCCAAGCCATTCCATAGAGGGACTTGGCTCCATCCTCGGTCGCAGCCTCAGCTACAGCTCTTCTTCTTTTTCGAGCTCATTAAAGCCAACGCCGCATTTCAAGTTCGCTGCCTAAGTCTTTCGTTCTTGTTAGTAACTCACGCCAGATGCAAGAGCGAGACAGCGGAGGCTCAGCCAGGAAAGACTCAGCCAGAGAGAGAGAGAGAGCAGGAGACGTGCAGGTTAAAGTGATTTCCAAATAAAATCGTTGCGGGCTGTTTTGGGCAACGCCTTCCCGAAAAACTCAAAAACAAAAACAACAAAAATGAAACAAAAAAGCGAAAACAGT